TTGTTTCTAACAGCTCCATGGAAGATGATACTATACACTGCAATACCTCACTACGTACTGATCGTGCTCTACTTAGTCTTCTTTCTGGTCACACTTAGCAGGTACGCATTGCGACTGATGAGATAGAAGCATGAGTACGATCATCTGAAGGCCCCCATAAGCTGAAACCAATGATGTGCGTGCGCAAGCCTACAACACGAGAAACGGTATACTACATTTAATTAAAAGCTTTCTATCCTTGAATCCGGTTTCACATGGATACCTGTACGTTAACACCATTCCCGGTTTACGATAGACGGAGAAAAATCACGTGCACATAGATAGTGGGTGAGCACTATTAGACCCAGCCCCCCCCCCCCCCNAAAAACCCATCGGTTTACAGGTTCTTTAGGTGGAAAAAACAAAACTGAAGACCCGTGAAAAAAAAAACAGAATACTCACTGAAAGAAGGAGATATCGTTACGAACTAGATCGTACGAGGCAATCACCAGATTGTGGTCAAGAATTTGGGTCTGCAAACTGAAATCAGAAAATGGAAAGCGGAGGGATAGGGGTTAACGAACGAGTGATCATGAACGAACTGACCATGCAACTAATAACGAATGGTCACATTTTGGGATTCTGTCAAAGCAGAGGTATTAGAGATAACATGTTTGGGAAAACGTATCGGACTCTGAAAATTGGATGAAAACAAGAGTGGTGACAAGGAGATTGAAAGTGAGCACTGTAGGAACCATTATGCGGTTGCTTCGTGGACGCGATTTTTAAAAAGTTTTATTACACACCAGTCAGGACGGATCCCAGTCACGAGGACCTGCTGTTCAGTGATGGAAACCGGTAGCCTAAGCCCCGGGACTTGGAATGGTGAACCACATAAGGCCCCGATAGATTAGGCGTGGTATTGAACCGGATAACAACAGAGCTGCCTACCACCAACGTCGAGTGGCGGGGCTCGAATCTCGGACCACAGGGTTAAAAGCACGCCTGTGACAGTGAATAAACTACTGCGCTACCACCACCCGGCCTTCAATAAATTCTGGTTCTCATAAACCGATCTACGATCTTCAGCTATCCAAAGGACCGACCGTAAATCCTTAAGGAAATCACGCTATTTCGCCCTGAGTAACTCGTGCTTCTTGGTCATGATTTATATGCTCAAAAGCCTCAGGATGGTCGGGGTAGGTGTCTCGGACTGTAACTGATCACCCTTCCATTACCTCTGTTATATGACCAAGTGTCTGAAATACCTTCTCACTGCCGTCCCATGGCGGAGGTATTTTCCACCAAAATGAGGACGAAAAGCTAACGTCCGGCGTTATAACCGGGTTTGTTAGCCGATGGCAGTTCACTAAAAACCCTGATTCTAACCCAACAAAGAGGAGGCATACGAACCGCACATACACCTTCCTGGTTGTGGCTGTGGTCACCGGCTCTATTGGGCATCATGGTGTAGTGGGCACCTTGGACGTTTGAGCCCCGTCCAAAATGAGTATGATCCGATGAACTGGACATCAGTTCCCAATAGACTGCGGACTCTGAGCTTTGTCCTGCTGTCTTGCAGTTTTGGCTTTCTGGTCAAAGGCTCGAGTGGGGATCCCGGGGTTTTCCCCTTTCCTGGATCAAGGCAATCGGGAAGTGACAAACCCACACAACCTAGGAATACATTCTACAGATTTCTACTTCATATGTTGTGCCAGTTCTATGTAATTGATTAAATATTGAAATAAATATTTGTTCGAGGCAGACTAGACTCGGACAAGTAGGAGATACAACTTTGTAGCACCGAAAGGGAACAGGTTGCGCGGACAGACCAGCCACATGATCACAAAAAAAATATTCAGGAATAAAGTTCGTTGTACTCTCTCCCCGACAAAATTTCAACATAAACGCCCACTGTAGTTAGAAAAATCAGTAAACTTACTTGATTCGAACAGTTGGACCACCGGTATAGACTATGGGAGATAGGTCACATGGACGCACGAATTGTTCAACCTCGTGTAACCAATGACCGCAAAGAGTGGACGGACAGATAACTAATGACCGAACTTCACGTCGAGTTTTGTGCTTCTGTTTCAACTCATGATGGCTTCCGGCAAGTATGCACAATGTCTGTAATGTTTTACCCAAACCGAGATCATCACACAAGATGCCATTTAAGCCGTAACGATTGAGGAAACTGAGCCAGTTTACACCATCCTGGAAATGAAGCGCGAGGAACACGGTGTCAGTGACGGATAAAAACTAGCTCACTGACTGAATGCAGTCCAATAAAGGGTGATTCATTCGATTTCGATAGCATAACAACCACCAGAATCATGTTCCCGAGAAGATGCCGATCCGGTCATGTGTCAACACATCAAAGTACAAAAAGAAGCTTGCAAATATGAGTGAAAACTTAATACAATCAACAGATTCATGATGTATGCGTGTCAAAGAATCTGTATATCCTAAAAAATACTGATTACTTTTAAAAATATCCATAGAAAATCATGGTAGTGCTATTTTTTGGAGAAATGCGGCATTCCGATGGTGCTCGTGAACACTCAACGATCCAACGATTGAGGAATCGAACCCGGGTTCTCAAAACTACCGGCATAACTATTGGACAGGTGGTGAACTCGGTTGACGACCAGCACAAGTATATTGAAACCTGAA